ACAACTGCTGCCTCTGGTTTTAAAGTTGCAACTGCTTTTTAGTAACAGTTTCTTGTTGAATCCGGTGTTGGAGATTCTGGAAACTGTCTTCCGTAAAATGCGCAGCACAGAGAGCTAGATTACGATCGTCATTTTCAGGAACATAATCAAACATAAATTATATCCATTGTTGACGAAGTACAGCATCCGTGAGAAGCTCGAACACAGAAGACCTGACAGCTGGTGAACAACACACTCGACGAGCCGCAGAAATATGGCCATGCCCTTTTTTGCATATTCCGGAGAGAGGGGTTGATGCAAATGTTTGGGTTAGTGACGTCTAAAACCCAGCTGTAGTCCCAATCCAGTCGTTTTTTGTAGGCAATATACCTGATTTTAAAAAGACGATATCTCTGCTTACATTGAACTTTCAGCACTGCAACTTTACAGATAATGTTCATGCACCATCAGCAACATGACACACTTTTAAAATGAAAAAAGTGAAATTGCAATTAAGACATCTTTAAAGACATCCCTTTAAAGACATCGTTAAAATAGTCCAAGTGACTACAGTGGCTCAAAGTTTATTAAAGGGATAGTTCACTTTGAAATTAATTTTTGATATGTTTCTCAAGGGCATCCAAGATGAAGGTGTCTTTGTTTCCACAGTATTTTGACATTTTTCGGTCAAACCGTTCTTGTCTGTCAGTCATATAATGCAGGTTTAGGGGGTCCACGTCAAAGAGCATGCACAGAGAAGTCCAAATTAAACATGATTTAATGACTCATGAATGTAAGTACACACTGATGGCCTAAGACAAGAAACGAGCGGTTTGTGTGAGAAAACGAACAGTATTTATATAGTTTTTACCTCGTGTAAACAGCCGTCGAACTGATCTGAATCAGATGTCCAACTGAACCGAACTGAACCGTCTCCAGACGTCCCAGATAGCAAACTGACATTGAATCAACATGGGAAAATGACATCGAAACAACGTTGATCTGGCATTGTTTTGCTCATCGAATTAACGTTGAACCAACGTCAGACGCGTCATTCTTCAAAACTAACGGAAAGTCAACATGAAATCAACGTTGTTTCAACGTTAGGAAAGCAAACCAACTGCAAACCAATTACCAATTTTCATTTAGCTTTGAAGAATGGCGCGTCTGATGTTGGTTCAGCATTAATTCGACGAGCAAAACAATGCCAGATCAACGTGGTTTCGATGTCATGAGAGACATCGTTTCCACGTTGATTCAATGTCAGTTTGCTGTCTGGGGTTACGCCGGAAGTGATCTCTCGCGCGTCTACGTCACGCATTGTTTACACGGAGATTTCGGAAGTTTTACCTAGGTAAAACTTCCGAAATCTCCGTGTAAACAATGCGTGACGTAGACGCGCGAGAGATCACTTCCGGCGTAACGTCTGGAGACGGTTTTACATTTCTGGAGAAGGGAAATGTCTTTCTTACTGTACAGTACTACTAAGAACCTGTAGTCAAAACTTTGTTGGAAAGATCCATTTGTCTATAAAAAAAAAACCCCATCAGCTTATCATTTTCAGAACAACTCATTAAATGTATACTTGCGTTGGCCTTTGCAGTGAAACATTTCGTGAAGTTCCTGAAGAAGGATTTTAATTGTCCCATGAGTCTTAATCGATTTCTTTGGTGTTTACTGATGAATTGGTGACTGGTGATGAACTTGCGTGGTTGGTTTGACTCAGTTGACTCAGTCTCAGAACGTACCGAGAAGGCCAAGAGAGGGAAGGGCTTGTGTAGAGGCCATTTAAAGCCTGAGAAAGGTCCCACCTCTCAGGGTTGGCTTGGCCAATAAGAAAAGGTGAATTTCCAATTGGGAAATGGCTCTGTCTCAGGTGTGGTTAGACATAGGCCTTGCTGTCTGTGTCCATTTATACTCAGATCGATATCACAAACATACACTGCATTCTACGAGAAGGTGATGTACACTAAAGTGTGAGTCATAAAATGAGGATTAATTAGATAGGTGACATGATACAGGTGTTTTACTATCCTAAAATACATAGTGGCAAAGATATAATAGTACACAAGACAGTAAATAATTCACAGTGTTCTGAGATGCTGGGTTGGTTCTTTTACAGATCAGTTCGTCCATATTCGTCTTTTCTATGACCTCTGCTTTTTCCACGTGACCACATTTTTAACAGCAATAAAACCAACTTATATGATCGTAGTCATGGTAACCGAGTCCCTTCTTTCCTTCTTTTGGGGTTGGGACCATAGTTCCCAGAATGTGTTTAAACATTATTTGTTAAACATAAAAAAATTATTGTGTCTGATTTGTCTCAGTCTTTAGGACTGATGTTTTAAAAAAAAAATAAGAGAAAAAAAAACACAAATCCTGGCTATTTCAGGCCTTTTTGTAAAACGTTACTCGTACGATTAAGCACACCATGAAACAAATCCTCATTTTTCTTATACCTTGTAAGCTTGAATGTTGGTTTTGCTTCGTATCAGTGTAGAAAGACATCAACAGTTTACAGTAATTTTGTGAAGGTTGTGTAATCATACATTAGCCCTTATATTAAGATAAGATAAACCAAGATTGATTTTCAAGTCTGTGCATATATATGCCATTGGTTAGTTTTTACTGACAGTATTTGAGAAATATGAAGCATGAAGAATAGATTTTTTTAAGTATTCAGGAGGGATTTTCTTGTTGAAACCTTCATTTATTTAGCCTTATAAACCTGTAATAAAGGTTTTCAGGTCACATCCTCCGTGCTCTTGCTCTGTATGTGTGAATGCAGCGATCTGCATCTGCGGCTTTGGTTTATAACCTCTTCCTATGTGGGCATTGTGCAATTGCATGCGTCTACTGTGACATTATACTGAGCTGATTTGCAGAACATTGTGCTCTGTGAGAAAACTAAGAAAAAAATAGGTTATGGTTTTAAGAGTTTCAGGATCAGAAATCTATTGGCCGAGTCGAACTAATAACCAATTTCACTTGGGTTTAAAATGAAAATTTTCACTCGCCAGCCAATTCGCTTCTAAATGTTCAAGATACCGGCCATTCAGAAACTCCACTAGCCGAAACATAAATATCAGAAATACACCAGATTATCAAAATGTTTAGTGATTATCAGAGTGTTTTCTGATCTTAATTAAAAATAAATAAATACATAAAAACCTGTTCAGTCCAAAATCCACCAAACAACAGGATTGACCAATTTATTATTAAATTTGAAATAAAATATCAATGACACTTAATGCCCAATGAAGTTTCGTATAACTTCCAAATACAGCTTCCTCAGAATGAATGTTTAATGGTAAATACATTGAAGTTTAGTGGACAAGGTGTCAGTTCGTAAAGTTTCCTCACAAAAGTCAGCGTATTAAAGCCTCTTGATGACATCCATCAAAAAAAGCCTCGCTCGTTTCATTTCAAACCCTCGTTTAATATGGAAATAAGTAGAGATTGCTGCGACTCTTGTATTCTGACTCATTAGTCTTGATCAGACAATAACAATAAAATAAAAAAAGAATATAAAAATGCTAAATATCTTAATTAGCCAATATGTAATGTTTGTGTGACAACAGTATACTTCTATTTAAAACATTTCTCGTTCTATAATGCATAGTTTTATTTGATATAGTGTTCTTGTAAAGTATGCATTCCTCTCTGTATAAAGACATACTACATAGATTCATGTCAGAAAAAGAAGGCTTGACACAGTACATGCTGACCAGTGCAATAGTATTCCCTTCTGAACATAGACTGCATACTGTCTGTTTCACATCCTTTATACACAAAATAGTTGGCATTACACAGTGCATACTGTGCAGCATATAGTGAACAGTATGCTTGTATTGCATGCCCAAAACATCCAAAATCGCATACTTCCCTACTTAGGTGAAAAAATGTGACAAAAGAAGTATGTCTGAATTCACAGCACTCAAAAAAGTACCTGGATGACCTGCTTCTTCTGGTGAGATACAGAAGTGTGCATACAATCACGAGAGAGGATTTTGTGAGTGGTAGTGAAGCAACGCTGCAGGTCACGTGATAATGACAACATGGCGGATGTAGTACGTCCAAATTACATTCACACTACACAAATTCAGAACATACCCGTTTAGCAGCTGGGAAGCAATTACTTTCTCAAAATAAATGCCTCCGCAATACTTCCAAAAATCCAAATCTTGTCCATATTGCAGGAAGCGTAAATGTGGTGTTTCCATAGTACGCTATTCTAAACAGCCAGGATGCATACTATTTCATATTTATATTGTACAATATTATGCAGTACATATTTAAGAGTAAGCAACTAGAATTTGATTCTGGACATAGCCTGAACACTGTCGCATATATTTTGCACAAATAGACAGTACATAGTGTATACTGTGCAGTTTATAGTAAGCATTATGCTAGTATTGTATTTCCAAACATTGTCTGGTTCAACGGTTAATCAGGTTCATACTGAAAATTCAGATACTTATAGCTAAAGAAAGCGTATGTGTAGCCTAGTATGATTTTCTGAACAGCCACAATGCTGTCTGTTTTACACACTTTAAGATAAGTGTAATTTCATTCAGGACAGCCATTCTGCTAGTATTGTATTTCCAAACATTGTCTAAGAGTATTCATGCTGAAAATACTTTGCTTAGCTTAGGATACACACATCCATAGACCACAATATCTGTTTTACACACTTTAGGATAAGTAGTTTTTGATTCAAAACATAGCCATAGGCTACCTGTCTGCTGTCACATACATATTTTACACTTAATAGTAGCCAGTAGTGTACTGTTAAATATTAAAAGTGCTAACGTTATATAAATAAAGGTTGACTTGATTTACTCTGTTTATGCTAGTATTGTATTTCCAAACATTGTCTAAGTCAACGGGGTATCCGGTATTCATACTGAAAATGCTGTGCTTAGTAGTTATACACACACAGAAAGCGCAAGTGCGGTATTGTAGTATGCTAGTGTACACGGTCTGTTTTACTCTGAGAGTAGTATGCAGTGCGCTGTCGGCGGGGAAAGTGCGCGCTGTGTCTTTAAGAGGCCGTGCTCTCTCGGTGTGCCGCTGCTGCTGTAGGGATCGGCTGATGGGGGAAGGGCTCCCAGTCTCTCACACACACCGCTCTCTCATGGCGGAGAGCAGATCATCTCTCACACACACTCGCGAGGCTCGATCACACACACCGCGAGGATCCGCCAAACCCGCGTCTGATCGCGAGCCCGGACGTCATGCGCGCCGCTGAGATTGCACACACACTCGCTGTTGTGATTCTGCTTTTCTTGAGCGCCGGAGAGAGCCAGCTGCATTCACACACGGTGAGACAAAACAAACCTGTGTTTTATTATTATTATTATTACCTCCATCATCGTCGGAATATAGATCCTCAGGTCTTTAAATCGTCTGGTTTCTATATGTAAACAATTTAAGAATGTACGTTTTTCATAGTATTAATAATAGAGGATCAGTGTTTTTGTTTGTTTGCATTGGACGCATTATCAGCATTACAGATATTTTATTTAGGCTAACTGAATTGTATTGGATTAGATCAACTCAATCTAATCTATTTAAACATACTAGGGATGAGGGATAATGATTTGCTGAACATTCATGTAACGTTATAATAATAATAAATGAATAATTATACTAACAGATGCAGTTTTATGCACTAATTTATCAATTTAGCTGCTCACCATTTTCATGTTTGTCTATATAAACGCCAATAAGTCCAACTTGGATGGACCTGTAAATTCAAAGCAGGCCCCTGCCTGTGTGTGTGTGTGTGTGTTTTCATAACCAACGTATATAGTGCGTGGATTCCTGCCGCTGCTGTGCCGTAATGTTGTTCCGTGATGCACGTTTTTCTTCCTGGTTTTCCAGGGTGTCCTCCTCAGGCCCGGGAGGCTGTGAGTTATTCTGAAAGGAACTGAAGAACAAACAGGGGAAATGGCTGCGACCGCGGGCTTCTCCTCCAATGGACCTGTCCCCTGGACGCTGAGCGACACCGAGGTGAACAATCTCTACCGGGACCTCGAGCTGGGCACCGTGCTCACGCTCTTTTACTCCAAAAAGTCTCAGAGACCCGAGAGGAGGACGTTTCAAGTCAAGCTCGAGACCAGACAGATCATCTGGACCAGAGGAACGGATAAAATCGAGGGCGAAAGTAAGTTGCGCCTTGTTTCTGGGCGCTTGACTCCAGATTGGTCGGATTGGTAAATCAGTGCTCGGCATTATGTGTTGAGAAAAGGCTACTTGGTGTGGTATTTGCATGTTTCATTACCACATTTTTGGTCCCCAGAGCCATTAGCTAACACTATTTCCTTTTAATGTGGTTGGTGCCACATTTATCAAAGCGTATTCAACCAAACATAATGACTGCCTGAATTGCACAAACCTGCACTGCCAACGCTTTCATTTTGCTCATTCAACAGTCTATTTTTAGTGTTCTTGGTGGAAAATGACAGGGGTTTTGACTGGTACACGTTACGTCTTATTTCGAGCCGTGTGTGTCTCAGATCTAACGGTAGTGCTGCTGGTTTGGGGTCTGATCGTAGGGCAGGCCCATCTGTGCTGCTGCTTTCCTGCGGCGGGATGTCTTACACACAGCTGCGCTCTGCTCCGGATGCACCAGACACACTAAACGCACGAGAAAAAAACACTCAACGAGCCGCGCCGTGGTGTAATCGCGCGTCTGAAGTCATGTGTGACTTCTTAAAGCCGATGTTCAGTTTGGCCACTGTGTGGAAGGGTGTAATAAACCGATCACTTGTTTGTTGAAGTCATCCATGTTTAGGTGTGGATTTTGGAGCGTATTTGTGTGTTATGAAGCATACGTCTCGGTGAGAGCTTTCATCCTCACAGGAAACGTGTTGCTTTAAGTGTGGAGAACGTATTGAGATCGAGCGGGGTTCCTACGCTCATGGAGAACCTGGGAATGTTTAAACAAAAAGTGTGACTTCCAGCTCTGAAGAAGTCCGAACATCCTAAAACAGTTTGCTTTTGTTTTTTGTATGGCTTCATGGCTTTAGAGAATATACCGATATGATTCTTGGCCGATAACCGTTAAATTGGCCGATAAATCTAAATCCGAGTTTTGATATATTTCCTGAGAGCCTGATTGCAACAACAAAAGTCTCACCGTTAAAAGCCCTGTCCCAAACACACAATTAGAGAATTTCAGTTTTGTTGGTTATGCTTCGGGCTGGATAAATAAAAGCTTGTGTTTACATAATATAGGTGTGTGTAATTATTTTGTATATAAAAATTCACACATGTGCATGTATATATTTAAGAAAAATGTGTTATTAATGTATACATTTTCATATATATATATATATTGTATAAATATATATTTACATGAACATATTTCTTAAATATATACATGCATGTGTGTGTTTATATATATATATATGAAGAGTTCAGATGCAAAAGCCTCTAAATGCCATTTGAAATTTTCTTCTTTACTGATGATTTTTATCAAACTTGTATATTTTATTTCATTAATTTCACTTAAATAACAATTAATAGGTAATTATCATTGCCATTTAAGTGAAATTACTGAACTTAAATATACAAGTTTGATAAAAATCATCATTAAAGAAGAAAATTTCAAATCACATTTAGAGGCTTTTGCATCTGAACTCTTCATATATATATAATAATTATACACACCACACACACATATATATATTGAATGCGATTAATCGTGATTAATTGTTTCACAACCCTAAAATACTAAATTGTTTTGAAATGACTCACATCGAGTGCAGTCTCCACAAACGTTTAAAAAAAAGCCATAAATGCATTGGTCAGATCATGCAGTGATTCACTGAGATAAGGTTTTGGTGATTTTGGGCAATTGGGTAACTGAACTGAACTGTTCTGAATGAATCCAGTGTTAATAAAGTTATGGTTAGGTTATTTTACATATTGCTGCTCTTGTATCATTTTTGGTGCGTCCCGATTGCCTGTTGGAAGTTCAACGCAGAAGTAGGGCCGTTACGATTAATCACGATTAATCGCATCCAAAATAAAAGTTTGTGTTTTAATAATGTGTGTGTAGTGTGTATAATTATTTTGTATATATAAATACACACACATGTATACATTTAAGAAAAATGTGTTATTAATATATCAAATCTTTATATTTATGTATGAATATTCATTTATTCATGAGTATGAATATACGCTGACTTATTTTGTATCGGTTGAAGTATCGGTATATAAAGAATTTACATGCACATTTTTCTTAAATATATATATGCATGTGTGTGTATTTTTATAACAATTATACACACTACACACACATTATGTAAACACAAACTTTTATTTTGGATGCGATTAATCGTTTCACAGCCCTACACAGAAGCAGAGCTAATTAAATCTCACCGTTTTGGTTTCCAGCAAAAACCTGAAATTCACATTTCATTTTTGGATGAATATTTTCGATGTATTACTTGTTAAAAGGATTAGAGGTATGCATGGTATTGGGGAATAGGGTTGGGAATCGAGCATCGATTGGAACCGAGACTAACTTTTCGTTTTTCCCGGAATCGTTCAAAAGTTAAAATTTCGATTCCTAGTTTCGATATTCACAGTCCGCCGAGCGGAAGAAGAAACCGCTGAACAACACCAACGAAGAAGCGTCTACCGGAAGTGTTGGCATAATCATGCGAGTCGAACATGAGTAGATTACGTCGGCGATCCAAAGTGTGGCTTCACTTTTCTAAAAATAACGAAATCTCGGCAAAATGCAAAATTTGTGACAAAAGGAGTATTTTTACAGAAGGAGTATTTCCTTCAGAAAGGCCGTTGGTTAGCAAGGTTAGCTAAACTTTTTTGACCCTGCCTCTTAAAAGAATCGGAATTGAGAATCGTTAGGAACCGGAATCGAAACAAGGAATCGGAATCAGAATCGTTCAAATTCAAACGATACCCAACCCTATTGGGGAATATATGTCTTTATTAGTTAATCAATCACTACCGGTGAAGTTCTGGAAACCCATCCATCCATTTCGTTTTCGTTTGTCACAAAGTGTGTTTTTCAAAGGTGACTCAGCTCATTTTTGGATTCGTTATCCTAATAGTAATCTTAAACCCTCTTCTCAGACGTCATGGTAATGTTGTGCCCGCAGCTTCATGTTTTCGAAGGCACTTCTGTTTGTCCTCTATTGATGAACACGGGCGACAGGTCTTTAGAAATCTCTTTATCTGCAAGTTTGGATTATGAAAGAAGAGGCGTTCTGGAATGCTGTTTAACTGTATGGATCAGTTGAAAGCATGTTCTATTCTTGTCAATGACAATATGAACGTTTAAGTCCTGGGCGTTGAAGACTGCGTAGAGGTGACGGGCTTGAGATGTCAGGCGTGACGTTCTTGGTTTGGTCTTCATGCTCAAGTGATCGCACTCCTTTATTCTCCTTGATTATCGATGCGCTACTCTTTATCAACCGGCCAGATAAGCTCAGTTACGAATGTTTCGGGACCACACCACACCAAAACTTTCCCCATAACTCACAACCCAGTTCACCCTCAGACCAAGAGTTCACGCTGGATCCTCACAGAACCGGCCATTAATAAAGCACTTTGTCATTGTGGGGACAAATTGTGCTATTGAATCACGCTTCGAGACGTGCCCGTGAGTTTCAAATGTGGTGTTTTGACGGATTGTTGGATGTTCTCGTGGCAGAAGTCTCTTAAGGTGTGTGTGTGTGTGTGTGTGCGCTCTTCTGTTGTGTGTTTGCGTGACAGGAAGGCTCTTGGTTGTGCCGTGCAGTCTTGTGTTTCCTGCTGCCCTGTTTGGAATTGTTAAGCGTTTCTCTTGCACCCAGTCTGAGCTCCTATCTCAGGCCAACTGCCTTTGTCCTGTGTGTGTGTGTGTGTGTGTGTGTGTGTTTGCCTCAGAGAGCGGCTTCCTCCGCAGGACTGTTGTGTTTGTACTCTCCAACTTTACCATATAAAAAGAAACAGATGGAGCAAATATGGACACTAGTATCTGGCCCTGCTCAGGTCATATTTATTGGGTGAAATGCTAGTACTGTGTAGATTCTGGTGAGTTCAGGTTCAGTTTATCGGGGGACAAATCTTTAAAGAGAAACTGACTCCGCTAATGGATTTGGATGTGGGTCGGCAAGTAGAGGTTTCAGTGGTGTTCGACTTGACCCAGAGCAGTGTACTTGAGTTTGAGCGTTAGTCCTGGTTCAGGGAGACGGGACAGCTGTGCCGAGAGCTACACAATGGTACGACAGAACGCGCCTGTAACCCCCCTCCCCGACAGGCAGACCTTTCACCAACGACTCACCACACCCTTTACTCCGACCTGGCGAGACCACACTTGGATTTAGGAGGTACTGGTATGACTATTAAATATTAATGTGGTAATTAGAGCCCGACCGATAAAGGATTTTGAAGGCCGTTACCGACACAAATATTTTGGGGTTTTAAAATCCGATATTCCGATAGATATCGGCCGATATTTTATTTATTTATTTTTTTAAACTGGACATGATAGTCACAAATTTTGTCATGCTTATTTGAGTTAAGAGAACTGATGGGGATGTTCTTTAAATTGTTATTCAAGCAATGTATGTACCGTGACCAACTCAACGAGTGTTGCCAACATGAAAGGTGTAGAGTGCCCTCTGGTGGACAAACTATACAACTCCAACACCCATGACATGGTTCAACTGCCGATACCGATAGTTTGGAAAATGCCTAATATCGGCCGATAATATCGGTCTGGCTCTAGTGGTAATGCACATTTTTAGGTCATTTGTTAGTTTAGGAATTTAAGGTACTTCTCATTTGATTATTTGGATTTGCAAACTAGAGATGCCCGATTAATTGTTAAAAGTTTGCAATCTCGATTCAAACCCCCACACGATCTCTTTCCTAAACGTCAACGATTTGGCTGGGACTAATAAATCTTTGACTGGTGCGATCACAGCGAACATTCAGATCTGATCTGGAGGGGGCAGTTGTCGCGTAGTTATGAAACCTCTTCTCTACAGTCTTTTCAACCACACATTTGTGTGTTAAAATGCTTATATTATTATAAAGTCTGGGATTACGGTTTACATTTTGGGAATTAATCATTGGCTATTAGGGGTGTAACGGTACACAAAAATCATTAGGGATGCACCGAATATTCGGCCACCGAAAATT